AAATTTTATGATGTATTAATTATTAAGATAAGATGTACAATATACCGCAGACTCAGTGCGAAACACCTCGTGAATATCTTTGGCAATGCTTTCTAGTTTTGACGGGATCACCCTGTAGACCAAATAAAAAGAGTCCAAATTAACTGTTCGGTTTGACAGCATGGAAATAAAAGTTATCTTTTTAGGGAATGGCTTAAACTGTCATACCGGATATCATAATCATTTCTGAACAAAGAAAAGATAACACATTTTACAAGCTGGTCCCGTGATGCATTGTCAAGGTGAGATTTCTTACGGTACGAGGCAAGAACTGATTGGCCCTCCAGGCAATCATCCAAAAGAGTGTCGATTTGCTGAAACATTACAATAGTTTTATCAATAATAAGTATTACAAAAGTAATTTAATACACAAATTCCACACAGAATTAATCAGAAAACCATGAAATAACTTGAAACTCACATTCACATAAGTGGTGCATATCTTTCGTTTCTTGGATGGATTGCTTTGGCTGCAAGACGGGCGACTCCCTGTTGTAACAACAAAAGGGTGTAAGAGGTGTGTAGCAAAAGGAAATTAAACACTTTCATGGGCGTATGGATCATACCAGAGACAGAAGTAGGTTGAGGCACAGCTGTGATCTCGACATTACTCGTAGCCTTTGCAGGACTAGCCTCCAGCACCACAGAGATTTGGGGAGAATGTGAAAGTGAACGTGGAGTATCATTCACCTGGAAGCTGGATCCTGCAACTAAAGTAAGGGATACGTAACAAATAAATAGCCAATAGAACAGAAATCCCACCTAACAGTTGAAATCAGAGCTCACCATCGGTAGAATTCAGATCAAGCACCACAGTGTTCTTCTCCAGGTACTTCTCCCTCGCAGAGAGAAATCTTGCCTTAGGACCCTCCTTGAGCAAATTGGATAAGGCAACTTCTCCCAGCACCAGGGCCGCTGCTACATCGACTTCCTCAGCTGAAACACAAAGAACCTGTGTTGTAGAATAGTCATCAATACCACTCAAAAACAAAAACTCGACACAAAACTAAACGACTATTGTGCGAAAGTGCCGAAATGTAATGGTGCAGGAGAGACAGCAATAAAGGATCCCAAGGAATGTGTGTAAAGCAGTGAACAAACGAAAACGCATAGGCCGGCATACAGAACCTAACCTCCCTGACTGAGGTTAGCTCTCGCTCAAATGCATACTAGACGCGTCATGACAAAATCCAATCAATAAAGCGCAAAGAAGTACAGTAAAACCAGACTGTTAGCTCAGTGCTAAAAATTAATCACCAAAATAAAATTGTCAAGATTCCAAGCGAAAATATAAGTGCAAGGAAACTCGAGGAGAGCTAGAGCACGTACCTTCAAAAGCGCGCAGAACAGACTCGGGCAAGCCCCAGTCTGCAAACTCATTCTCCATGATGACAAATTCGGATGCACAATGGCTGAGGTGGTGTTGAGGAGGATGGAGAGCGGAATGAATGGCCGGTGCCGGCAACGCGCACAGCTCGGTTCCGGAGGTGCGTTCGGGGGTTGTTGGAGGAACTGACTTCGGGACGATAGCAACGGCGAACAAGACGGTCGATGCGGTCACATCGCTTGTGAGATGGAGCCGGCTCGGCTGAGTCCCACAGCCAACCCACTAGGTGGCGCGAGGGTTGGTTACGACGTTCGAACCAAGCCGACGAAGCGAGTTGTAACACAACGATACGCTCAGTCGATCGCCACAACCAAACGACACGATGCAGATAACCATCCGACTCATGACACAGCCAATCTGGTTGCAGCGACCAACCCTTTTTTTTCCGTGTGTGACCACTCAGTGATCTACCAAGTCACCTTTCCTCTTTTGTTCAAGATTTTAATTTTAATTAAATTTCCCTGCTGTCACAGCTAACTGCTCTACCCTCCCCTTCCTCTGGCTATCTCATTGGCCGAGATGAAGTCAAGGCAGTTTCCCGAGTCTCTTCCTCTCAGCAGCTCGCTCCAAATACTGAAGTCAGCTGATTTAAATTTAGTGTTTTGTGTTAGTGTTCTCAAGTGATCATTTACTCTTTGTTTCTCGTAGTGTCAACCTGTTTCAATCCTCAATTTCCCATCAGATCTTCCAGGCGCAGATCTGTGACAGTTGCGCGATTTAATTTAATTCCGTTAGAGTCAAAGATACTTCGACAAAAGGAGAATGATTAGAGCTAGGTTACACTGCAGTACCAAAATAATTATTTATTTATACTAGGACCCACTCTGTTTAGCAGTACAAACAAAAGTAGCACTTTGAGCAAATTCAGTTTCAGTCAGTCAAAACACAAGTCACAGCAAGCACACCTTTTTTTCTTCTTTAGGCCGTGTCTGCTTGAAGCAGCGCACTCTCCTCCTCGGCAGAGATCTCAATATCCATGGCCTCGTCTGTAGGTGTAGGTTCCACAGCTCCGGCTGCGACTGCTCCAGCGGGCTCGACTGCAGCGGCGACCGCAGCGACGGCTGCTCCATCGGCTCCCGGGGCTTGAGTTCCCGCGGGCAGGGCAGGGCGAGGAACGGGAGCAGTCCCCTGCACAGAGAACGGCATAACCAGAGGGGTACCACAAGCGGGGCTCTCGTGACCAATTTGCGGAGCGGGGCTGGAGGCGATCACTAAGGTGTACCAACCCGAAAACCAAAACGCTATCACTTTATACGACCCAGTACCCTTATACATTATTAACTCGCTTCGCTCGACCCAGTACCCTTATACATTATTAATATCAACAAAATACAATCATGTTATGAATAAGCAAGCGTTTCTATACAATACGCTGCGAAAATATGCTGGAAATGTACAACATGAAATACTTTAGTTTTTGTCTCGTAATGTTGGTGGAACAGGGGCCTGCGTGGCCCGCCGGCCCGCCGCCATATTAGGCCACAGTGTTGTTTGTTGTTGTCGTCTCGTCTGCCGAGGGAGACTCCATGCCGCTGGTGGAGTAATTTTGAGAAGATTTATTGGAGATATTTGCTGCTGAGTTACTATTTCCTCGTCAATCAGGTATGTGCTTTGTTTTTAAGGTTTCTGGGTCTCGCATCCTCGCGAGAATTACCTTCTCTGGCCACTATTAGCTGAAGTACGCACCCAGAAAATCGTTTCCTTGAAACAAGGCGAAATTGCCTTAAGTTAAAGAAATTAGCGTCGAATTAAGGAAATTTTCCTTAAATAAATATAACGAAATGTTTTCTTTGGCTTAAGGAAAAAAATGCCTAAATTCAAGGAAAATTCTTTATTATAAGGGCAATTTTACTTTGAAACAATGGAATTTCTTTGATACAAGGAAAAAAATTCCTTATGTTATTTCAAAGAAACACTTCTCTGGGTGCGGAGCAGGCCCCTAGGCTTGTCGGTTTGACCTAGGTCACTATTTTGATTTCTCGCGAAATTCCTCGCACATAATGAGAAACGTTATTGGTGCTTTTACTATTTTTAATTTTGAAAATAACTGGTTCAACGATATGTGTACTTGTGCCGTTTTGTGCGCTTCCCAACTCTTAACCTCACTAAAACCACTCTCTCATCATTGTTGTCGTTTGTTCTGTTTTTATCGGGAAACAGTTAAATCTATTACTTCAGAACAAAAACTTTAACAGTAATCATACACACATGTAACAGACTGTATTGTGTGTGCCCTGATTTTGCTACTGGTGGGTTATTTTTGGCAAGTGTGGATGTAAAGTTTATTTTTATATCTGATGCGAACTTGTGGACCGCAAGTTCTTGAC